AAATATCAGGACACAATGTTTCTGACATGTATCGACACACATCAGGACATAAAGGTAGTGGAACATGCAGGGTACCATTAAAACCACAGGGCAAGTAATAGTGAGTACACAGAACTCTAACAGCAATATCACGACAGCGGACTGGTATTGATGGAATAAACTCATCAAGTTCTTCTGTGAATTGTCTTAAAAGATTCTGAGAGCCTCTAAGACGTCTATTTGGAATGTACACATAATCAGTCCCAGCAATATAAAGGTCATCACAAATTCCAACTTTAGAGTCTCTTTTAATGTAAGGCTCACACCTACCATTGGTACTAGAAATAATAATAATTTTAAAATCATTAATGAGGTAATGGCTATGCTTATACCTCATTACTGACCACAGTTGGTCATCAAGTTCAGTATCACACACTGTGACATTATCAACAGAGTCTTCTATTGTTACTAATAGATTCATGATATGAGTGTACTAGCAAATAAAGTTTACCTGATTCTGAGCAATGTATGCCTACATCCTCATGATGTCCACAATCATGAGACCCAAAACTATTGTGCATACATTGAAGTATTGTATCTTCCGATCCTGAACATTCAACCTCATCTAATAGTATGGACCCATTCCCAGCACCAAAGAATGCTTTCTCAAGAAATACAGCCCCTATAGGTATAATAAAATGAAGCATTTTATGTAACATAACAATAATTATCTAATAAATCACCATCAGTAGAGTATCCCAGTTGTCTACAAACTACTTGAGCATTGGTGTGTGACCACATATCATCACAAACAGTTCCCCAATCTCCCTTACTACTGTTACATATTTCTAGTCTTCCCTCATTTGGACCATTTCCATCCACTAGACGAATCTGACCATGTGAGCAACCTACAGAAGATATAAATTTTAACATAAAGCAACTAGAGCTAGTCTAGATCTATAGATCTACCTAGATTATCTGTACCATTAAAAACAGAAAGCTTACCAAGAGCTACATATACTGGCAATACCCAAGCAGAAAGAAACAAAGCCAGAAGAAACATGTAGACAAGACGATAAGACTGACAGAAGTCTGAACCACACCTAGATCTAGATCTAGCTCTAAGGGCTAAACGATAGATAATAATTAAACTTTAATTAGATCTAGTAGCATCATGCAGTGGCACGACTATTTATAGCAGGTCACTGGTGAGATCATGAGTGAACAAAGATAGACCCTGCAAAATCCCCCTATAGGAAATAAGTACATGGTCCAGCATATAATTGGCTAGAATAGATCTAGCTCTGAGATCATTAATATTGTTTTCAGCATGGCAGCTAAACAAACAGCTCAAGCTGTTTCACACTATGAATCATGTTCTACAAAAATTTATACTATAGTCTAGTCATGTACTGTACATCACTTTCTTTTACAATACAAGTATTATTAATGTCAGTAAAATCAAGGTTGCCAGACAATGGTTCAATGAGTAACCAAATCACCAAACATAGAGCGGTTTCATAGCCCCGTTTACACTATAAACCAGTTTGGATCAAAGCGGTTCAGAAACCAGCTTAATTGTGTCCACACGTAAACTGTGGTTGAATCGGTTTATAATGCTACATTGCATACATAATACAGCTGCTTCAATACTTAAACCGGTTTGATTATCTCAAACCACCTCCTGAGGCGGTTTACGTAAGTCATGCAGTTTCAAACCGCATTGAAACTGTCATCTATGCATAAACTGAGTTATTTCTAAACCGGTTCCAAACCACTTTAATTAAGGGCATAGTGTAAACGTCACAGATGCGTCATAATTACTTCCGCATGGCAAAATGGCTACTTTGCCATTCATTTGTACAGCACTATAAACTCTTCTGGCAGGCTTCCTTAACTATGAGCATGGCTAATTCATGCTGCCCTTTCATTTTCCTGGACTCAGGGATGCAAAGGCAGCAAAAAGTCCTTGGATAGAGAACCAGTGAAGCGGCCAAAGTGAACACTGCATTGCCTTGTTACTCCTGTAATTATTGCTATCGCTACTTTTCTGCTTACTACTGCTAAAATTGTACTCCTTTTCTGCCTTGTGCTGTGTAGTTACTGCTGTAAACGAATGAGGCTCATTAATTTTTGCCATACGGAAGTAATTATGACGTCAAAAAGTGACGTCACTGCAACCGCCTATCATTAAAAGACTCAGACCAACAATTAATACTGAAGGAGATTGAATGTCATTATAACAATACATTCATTCAGTAATGAATCAATATCAATTTCTTCACAGTGAAAGCAATAAATTTATGCATAAACAAATTTAATGCCAACATACAAGTTCAAATAGAGTCTAGTTAAGTGCAAAATTTTACATTACATTTACTCTTTGTAATTTAGTCATAGTATTTGCTCAATAATTACATTTTAATGCCTCACCTACTAGCTTAGTCTACCATATAAACTCAACAAACATGCAGACTATCTAGACACTGCAGCTCTACAGTACGTGAATGTCCGCGACCAATACTCCCCCACTCTTGGATCTATTTCAAGTCAGAGCATGACCATGTGAGTGTATAGCTTGTAAAACAAAAAAGTGATTAGATTTATCGAGCAGATTAAATAATAAGCTTGGGCTTATTTTATCTCTTATTAAACACCAAATTAGAGGACAAGCATAATACCAATAATCACAGCTATATATGCAGCAACTAGTCTAGCCTAGTATGTTATACCAGACACATAATAAAAATAGGCTTATGCGAGTCATGTTCAGCCTTCGTATTAAAGTTTGAAAAGTTTTCAAAAATGAAAAGAATATTATGCATGTGACATGTTATACAAGGATAATTATTCAGTAATAATTATTTTCTTTTTTTATACAAGTGTTATTAATTTGAGTGAAATCGAGGTAGCCTGCTAACGGTTCAATGAGATTATCAATTAATGAAACTAAATCACTGAACACTGGCCTATCAATTGGAGATTCACACCAACATAGCATCATCAATGAGTATCTATAGAGAAAATATAGTGAGATTATTACTAAAACATAATATTGAGCAAAAGAAACTAACAACACAGAGGTAACTCTTCAAATGCATTATGCAATGCTACAAAATATGTTCTTACATTTCCTGTGAGCAGGCTCCATTAAGTGGACATTGCAATCGTCCTCCAGTATCCAGTAACTCCACTACTCCTATTGGATCCAGACCAGGATATGGTACCTTACCAAGACTGAATATTTTCCAACAAAGAACACCATAAGACCACTGTAAATAAGAATAAAATTAAAAAATGATAGACTAATGATTGCATGATTGAGTGTAATGGCAAATGAATACTTACAACATCTGATTTTTCAGAGAACAGTCCATCATGAAGGGTCTTTAATGCCATCTATTTCACTTGTAGTTTAACTGTTGATGATCCTGAGTTATTATCACTGCCATAGGGGTAGGAACAGGGGGGGCAGGAGGGGCTTAAGCCCCCCCAACTTTCATTGAAGGGGGGCTTAGCCCCTCCAACTTTAAGTGATGTACATGTATTACTATTATCAACACTATAGACTTTAGTTTAGGTAATCCTTATATGTGTGCATATTGTGTGATGATTTGTTTCATTTTTTATTAGTTTTTTCAGAAATACACAAGCTTCTACTTCTTTATTTAACAACTCTGTTAACATCAGCTTCAGCTGAGCATAGACTTTTGACGTTAAGGAGATTAAAAACTACTTGCGCTCCACAATGTCACAAGAGCGTCTTAATTATGTAGTTATTTTGCATACACACCAAGAATTTATAGATGATTTACACATTGAGGACATTGCAATTTTGCAAAGGAATTTGTTACATTTAATGAGCAGAGACGCCAATATTTTGGACAGTATTAATTTTAGTACATGCTATGTATTAATGATCAATTGTAAAAATAATACCTTAGCCCCCCCAACTTTTAGTTTGTTCCTACCCCTATGATCACTGCCCTTTAGTTGCCTGAAGTAATTGCAAGCATATTATGTTATCAAATAGACCAAAATCAGCTTTATTATCAATTCATGAAATAAAAATTAGTTAAAATAGATTTACTGGTGTTTTAAATTTAAAGACTTAGACTAC